TGTAGTGAATGATGTTTCCAATAACGGAAATGGAGAACACTAGAAGAGAAGGTTATTTTTAGAATGGTGTTTGGAGGAGTCAAAAGTTTTGTTTTGGAGAGTAAGTTTGCCCAATGATCCTCCAAGTAGAGTTGCTAAGGATGGGACTGGGTATATGATTTGAGTAGTCAGAAATGCAATTTGGGAAGGTGTTAGAAAATAAATGGTGTTCAAAGTCATGAGACTTATCAGGAACCCCAAGGAAAGAATCTAAACTGAAAAAACAAACAAACAAACAATAAGACCAAGGAATAGTAATAACATAAATCATTATGTTCCAAATTCAACATTTAATATCTTCTTAAGATAAAAAAGAGAAAGTGTTTCACTAAATCTGCTCCCAGCAAACAGTAGCTCAGGTGCATCTGTTGTTTTGAGTGTCACAGGTGCTACAGAAATTTTCTTAGACTTTGTAACATTAAAAAAAAAAAAGAGGTAAAATTTTTCTTTCAAGAAAAATGCATCCTATTTTTTACTCAAAGTAATAAAATCTGATTTGTAAAAGTAAGAAAAATAAAAGAAGAAAGTTGTTAGGGACTCTTTTTCTGTAATGCTTTCATGTTGGTCTTACTCTAAAAGGAAACTTACAAGGACAACTACTTGAGCTTTACTCATAGTGGGTAGTGGTTTTGCGAGCATATCAACATTTTGATATGAGAAACAAGATTTGATATGAGGTATGAGAAACAAGACTATATGATATAAGAAACAGGATTATAAGGGAGATCAACAATAACTACCATGTGCAGACTCCTTAGTTAAATATGGCAGCTCATTAATGCGTGGATTCCAGGCAAAGCTTGTGTTATGATTGGAGTGTAAGTTGCAAGATATGCTTTGACTATAAAAGTCCATCGTCAATTTTTCCAGGTTAATTACCTCTAAAGATGCAAGGGCAGAGATAGGAAGAGTCAGAAGGAAATGAGCTGGGAATTTACAGAGATTATGGGCAAGGCATGGTTACACATAGATCAAGAAATTGGGCATTTGGTTTGCATTTACCTCAGTCTTCAAGGTCTGGGTTATACGCATTTCATGTGTTTGGTGGTATATGTGGGTGTGGGTGTGCACGCACAGAGCTATCCGTATGTCTAGAAAATGGACTTGAATTGAATGGAAAAATCAATTGAGTTTACAAAGAGATTGACATCATTGTTTGCCCAGATGAATCAGAGTTACAGTTCCAAAGAAGAGACTCATTTAGAGGAATGGAGTAAACCCACAGCTTATCCTAAGCACTCAGCTGATGAATGCACATGATCCCAGGATACTCTTCATAAATAATTTTTGAAAGTTGACTTTCCCAGTAAGGGAGGAAAAGAATGAATAGGGCAAAGGCTGAGAAAACTGACTTAAAATCTCACATCAAGTATCAAGACCAGTTGTCTTTACAATGAAGGAGTCCTAAATGATTGAAACTAAAGTAGAGAAGTGGATGAAAGGAAGGTTACAGATGGAAGCATGAAAAATATGTGAGAAATTTGAAATCATTTGCATTTCACCTCAATTTAGTAGATACGTATCGAATCCTAATAGATTGTAAGCCTTGCAAGAACACAATGATGAGTAAGAGTCCTTTCCTTCTAGAAGTTCACAGTTGCAGAGGAGGAAAAAATAATTTTCCTTTTACACTTCTAGATTCTTGGCTGAGAAACCCTGTAATAAAAGATTAGCAGGAGAAAAGCAAACAGAAGTTTAATAACATGCATACCACCTGTATACATGGAGATATCCAGGTATCCATGGGGAGATAACTTCCCAAAATGGCCCAACCCTCCACCTTAAATGCCATCACCAGCTACAGACAAGAGAAGATACTGAGGTGGGTGAGGGAGCGAGGGATGGGAGACTACCAAGAAAAGAACCATAGACAAGTGTAAGGTTGCTGCAGATTTAAGTCCTTCTCCGCTGATAAGAATTTCTAGAGATTTGGCCATTCCTCCTCTTCCTGGTACAGAGAAGGCAACACCCTTACAAATGGAGGCCTTCCTTATTAACGTAAATATCTTTTACAAAAAGGTAACTCCTACATGGTTTTCAGAGCTCCTATGTCTACTGTTTCTTAAAAATAATCCTTTCAAGAGAATCAACATGCCAAAGAGGCATATTTTGGGGTGGCAAATTCTGCTCTCCTTCACAGTTTGCCACAAACAGATGAGCATTTAGCAGAAACTGGGATGAGTAGATGAAATGACTTCAAACTTGGAAAGGTTTATTTTTACGGCTTTTTTAAAAAAATGAAAGATGGTATCAGAAATGAGAGACATGGAGGCCATGGGAAGATGGAGGGCAGATTCCAGACTGTAGAGACCTCACAGGTGAAGTTTCAGGTATTAAGGTACTAAAAGCCTGGAGAGCCTGGGAAGCTGTTAATGGGGATGATAGAACCTCCAAAGGGACAGGAAGAAATCATCTGGAACGGAAGAACTCCGGAAGTTGTTCCTGAGCTTTCCCATCTCCAAACTAAATAAGCCCACAGACCACTCTTTCCAAATGCCAAGCTTACACGCATTTCTGTTGCTTATTTCAAGTAATTACCTACTAACAATCTTACTTATTTCACAGTAGAAGTGCTGAAATCTATGTAGGTAGGGATGTTGCAATCTATAGGTACCCAGAATAAACCTATTTTGATGGATAAATAAATAAACTTTTTTGGAGCTAGCCACTCCATAGTGACCTCAGACTGGAAGATTATCCATGTGAAGATTATCCAAGTGTGATAGTCAAACTCTGTATTACTTATTTTATGGATTAAATAAATACTAGCAGGATTTTAGGCAAAGCCTTTAAAGAAAAAATAGTTTACCCATCTCCATAGGAAAGCACCTGAAATCCTGCTCTAAAGGCATCATTTGGGTACTTCATAGAATCCTTTTTAAAGGCAAATATCACACACAGTCTACCCTCTTGAAACAAATCATTTAATTGGCTTTTCTATCACTTGAAGTCACCAGAGCTAAAAAAATGGAAAGGGGTAACAGATTTTTTAAAATACCAGTAAAGGTCAGATAAAGTTTATCTATATCATAATTTTACCACAAAAAGTTACACATCTTTTTTTTTCCCCCTAGAGGAAAAATAGTTTTGGATCATTTGACATTAGTTAACACATTTTCCCCCAACTCTTCCAGATTTATTATATATTTAAAACAATTCTCACATTTACAGCTAATATTCAAGTGATATTTTATCAACATTTCCTTGAGTTTTATTTATTAATCACTTGAGGAGAATAGGAATCACACTTCCTCTTTACCAGTAGGCTGCTATCACACATTTTTAAAGATTATTCTTCGTATTTGCAATCCAAAAGCAGCTAATTTAAATATCGCACAAAGAATATAAAGCTCTTCTATTTTTTTTTTCCATTAAAGGGCTTTAAAAGGATTCTCTCACAAAGACAGTAAGAAGAAAGTAAATAAAATCCTTAGAATTCTAATTAAGTGAAAACAAAAATCCTTTTAAACCTCTGTTGCGCCCTCTAGTGGTAGGAAAGCAAATGTTTAGCAGTCTATGTTCAACACTTCTTTGCCAATTAATGACCCTTCGTATAAAACTTTCTTCAAATGAGTCATGTTCAATATTGCACTGTACATTAAGTTTGTAAAAGTAACTAAAAGTAAGAAAACTAAAAGTAAGAAAAATATCCGTTGTTAGATTTCTGAACACCAAATTATAAAAATGATCCCTTGCTGTTTTAAATAATTACTAAATGTTTGGAATTAAACCGTTTTCCTAGTTTAAAGTAGAATAGAGAAGTCAATCTCATACAATCTACCATAAAATATAAATCAACTCTCGTTAGAAAATAATCCATATTTTTCTCTATTGTTATTACATGACTGGTATATTTTAAAAGTGAACAATTCTCAGACATTTTTACCTTCAAATATTCACATTCCTAGCAGCATCCCCTTTTCAGATCACTCCGTGTATCCTGAAATACTTAATACAAGAAGAAAGCTTCACTCCAAAAGACATTCTGAGCCATTTTTTTTTTCCTGAGAATCCAGAGATGAAATGAGCGTCATTGTAATTTGTAAAATATGATGTGAAGATACGGTCTTAGAAATCTGACTTTGGTGGATATTGATTGCTTAAGATTGTTTCCTTTCCAAAAGCACAATTTCATTTTTATGACTATAACAGGAGAAAAAATTGATACAATTGTGAAAACTAGTGAGAAGGGGATTATAAAAAGAATAGGATATAGCATCAATGAATCCAAAAAGAGTAAAGCGATGCAGAGAGAAAAGAGTAAAGTGTCAGAAAACACCAATGATATAATAATGTATTTCCACATAAATAGTTTATAGTTGGATTTTGTAAACATGACATTGTTTTTGTAAGACATTTAACCAAAAGTCAGCAATCATAAATTCAGTCATTCTCCCAGTTACTTGAAATAAAAACTTTTCAATTTGTTAGAGCTACTAGTCTTTTAAAATTTTTTTTCTTTTTTTCTTCCTATTTTTTTTTTTTTTGCTTAATCCCTATACCTTAACTGATTCTCTGATTATCTTTCATTTTCTTCCTTCTTCTAGCATTCATTCTCTAAAACCTCTATTTGTCCCTAAGCCACAAAACATTTGCTCACAAGTGTGGACTATCAGAAAAGAACCCCAACTCTTTAAGACTTCCAAAGCTTAAGAATCACTGATTTCATGCATTCATCTTGGAGACTTTGCTTACATTAGAAATAATAGATATCATGCTTCACAAAATCAAAATGACAACTTCTTGGAGTCAGAAATGAGAGGAAATGGAGAAAGAGAGGCACTGTAATTTTTGCTTCCAGTATGTTCTATATGGAATTGCTTTTGAATGATTTCTGTGCGTCAGAAATCCAGAGCAACTGTAGCAATTAGGGTAGATGTCACACTTTCATTTGAAGTTCGGAAGTGGGGGAGGAGAATGGGGTACAAAGGAAAGGGGGAGGAGGAAGTGAAGAGAGGAGAGAGATAGAGATGAAGGAGGGCATATCCTAAGAGATAATCCCTGTGCTATCATGACATCATCCTTCTGCGTGTATATATAGGGAATGGCCAAAGCATCTCTCAGAGTTCACTTTCCAAATCAGCTGAAGGCAAGAGGAAGCGCTAGAGAAAGCCTCTTTCAGCGTGTCTGTGACGTTTATGGACTTGGCTTGCTAGAAGGCTCAAGGAGATGATGGCAGGAATGAAAATCCAGCTGATATGCATGATACTTCTGGCTTTCAGCTCCTGGAGTCTGTGCTCAGGTAAGCTCAGCTGCATTTCACAATTCCCTGAGGTGATTTCTTTCTCTTTTTTGGCACTGTGTTGCTACTTATGTTAATGCATCCAGGGAGAAGAGTTTTTCCTTTATTCTGGATTTGCTTTTTAGTGATAGAAACTGAATATAGTCTTTCTCTGTCTTTATGATTACAAGAGCTGGAAGATTTTATTTCTCTTTTTAAATCTGCAAAGGTAATAAAAGAGATTTCAGTGAAACACTCCATGCCTTCCACTTGGAATGTAACCACCAGAGTAGGAAAAAAAAAAATGTGTAGAACTTAAATTAGGCTGTCAAAATCTGATAAGGAGTACAGATGCACCACCTGTCAAAGGGAGAACCCATAGTTAAAACTCATTCCATTCAAAATGCTTTTTCTCATCTTCAGTCATTCTCTTAGGAAGCAGGGGCTTCTTCCTCCTCCAAATTATTTTAACTGTGTAGGTATGTCAAGATGCAAATAAAGTGAAAACTGATGTTTAATGAGCAAATGAATGAACCATTATTTATAGAAAATGATTTCTAAAAAATATAAAAATATTCCAAGTACTGTTAGACAATGCATTTTGTATAGCCTTTCCATGTGACAAATAAGTATACTATTAATTTAATTTTTTTTGCATGCTGTTTAAGTTCATACAAAATATTACTAGCAAATTGGTAAATTTATGGAATAAAATTGTGGAATAAAATTAATGGAAGTTATTTACCTATGGAGTGTTTTGCATGTGATAATTAAGAAGCCATGTATTGTTATATATCTACCAATAACTTACCTTGAAAATAAGACTTAAATTTATTAGAGTAACATGTAATGTTATAATATTGCAATATCACATCAAAGAGGGAAAATACATAGGGAATAAGTGCAGCAAAAATCATTTAGCCTGTTGCATACTTTTATATTTTATTAATATGACATTGAAATATTTAATTCAAACTCCTATTATTTTATTTAAATTATGAAATTAAATCTAGCAGAAGATATAAATGTTACTTAACAAAATTTTTAATTTATTTTGATCATGAGAGAAAGATCTTGAGCTTCTAACTTTGCAATAATTTTTAATGCTATAAATACCAAATTTTCTACAATTATGATTTTATCTATTACATAAGGTTAAAGGTATATTTAGAGTGTACGAGAAAAATTGGATTGTTGATTAAACACTGTGTTTATTAACTCTTTGAGCTTCTTGATGTGATAAGCCAAAATTTGTAGGGATTTTGATATACATTTTTCATAAATGGCTAAAGGAATTTATTATTCCCTTGAGAAACAGACTGGCCTTGAACAAATAGGAAAAAAGATCTCTGGTGTAATTTAGGAGCTGGTTACAATTTAACAAGTAATTTCTTTAAATGAGACTCTTCTTTTCAACAAGAGTGTGTGCTGAAGAAGATAGCCATTTTAACATCTGCTTTGTTTTAGGACAGATCAGTAAGTATAAATTAAGTCATATAATTATGATATTCTATAACCTTGTTTCTATTACTTACAGTATTTTATAAAGTTTTCTTCTCTGCAATATATTCACTAGGGGAAACTGGAAAGGCTACCCTAATAAAAGTCAGAAGTCCATTTTCAACTCAGTTACACATGTATTGATGGACAAATTAACCAATTTGCTTAATAGCCTGTGTAAACTATTGCTGGTAAAAATTAACCAGCATTTTTAATGAAATCTCAATCATATGATATAATCACTTTTTTTGTTTGTTTTTTTTAATACTGAGATTCAGAGATTAAGTAACTCCAATACATCAATAGCTCTTTTGGCATATAATCATGTGTTTATTTTCTTAGGAGTGTTTTTATTATTCTAACTGCCTGTTAGCCCAAAACTAAATAATAAGTATTTTTTCTGAATATTATTTTATGGATAATAAATGCATAGAAAAACAATAAGCCTCTAAGACTAATTTTTTTGAGGTTAATCTAAAATCTGTAGGTTATAGCATAATTATTTGATATATGATTATATAGTAAACATGTGGTTTTGATTTTATTCAGATTCAGAAGAGGAAATGAAAGCATTAGAAGCAGATTTATTGACCAATATGCATACATCAAAGGTAACTTTTTCTTTTCTTTAAGCATTGATAGAAGAACATAAAAGCTCTCATTATAAACATAGTGTCTTTTCCTATAGTTAATAACTTCCCATCAAGACTGAAAAGTTCATCGAGAGGCATTTCCTTTCTCGGGAAACTTTTCCTTGAGTTCAAAGCAGTTAAGGGTGTTGATGTGAAAGGGAAAGAAATCGTAGTGACTATCAACTTATTGTGACTTTAATTAGGTAGTCACATATTATTTATGTGGAGATGAAAATGTATTTAAAAGAATCCTGTTTCCATTCCTATCACATTGTGTATGGCAAAAGGTATGCCTCAACTTAAATGCATCCAGGGAAATGAAGTCGACATTTTGGTTATATCGGGAAGAGTAAAATGGAGTTCTAAATTAAAAATGGTAGTTCGTGACAATTCATGAAATAAATGTGGTAGAAACTAAAGAGCAGTAGACTGCAAACAGAAGCTTGGAGATCTAATTCTCCAACTGTGACTTCTTAAGCAAGGGGCTTAGTTAACATTGCTTGTCTTCATTGCCTCATTTGTAAATGCTGGGATTGGGGCTAGTTTACATTCTCCCTATAACAGAATTATCATCTACACCTGCTTGTGGTTTTTAAGGAAGCAAGTGAAATTTTGTATACTGTACCTGTTACTCCTCTCTTGCTGTCTTGAAAACAAGATTCCTAGATCCCAACCTGTACCTAGGAATAAAATACAATTGGAATATACCTGTTTACCATGCTACCACACAGTATTGATTTACCCAGGGTGAGTCAATCACAGGAATAGAAAAAAGAGTTCCCTACTAAAAGATGTTTCTCAAAGAAAAATAAGTCTTGACTTGAGGCAGACCCCAGGTACAATCACTATTATAAACACTGGGATATCCATGCAGAGAATTCAACAGATGTTGTAGTAAGAAAGTAAGTGCTCAAAGCTCCTGTCTAATTTTTGAAGCAATACTCCAACTAGGGTCCTGCCACCTCGCGTTTCTCTTCCTTAATTGGATGAGCACGTTCTAGGTACAATAATCCCTATTATATTTGTAGAATTATGTTTGATAGTGGGTTTGAAGGGGAAATACCCATTTCTTGTCTGTATTTGGCAGTATAGAACATTATTATCTGAAAGCTAGCCAAGATATGTCGTCTACTATGATCCTTAAAAGACACATGGGGACAATTTGAGTGCATGTATTTTTACCATTGCCCAGATCTACAAAAGTTGAATGGTTTGAAACCAAGCTCTTTCATTATTTGGTAGGCTTCATATCAGGAAAGATCAAATTTAGTTTAGCCATTAAAAATCAATAACCAAATAATAACCTTAAGATAATGGATCACTTGTTTAATACTCAATAGCAACCATTACAATTACCTCAACTCAAAAATAGGAAGACAAAGCCAGTAGTCTGTTTAGAAATGGGGCAGATTGGAATGCCTTAGTTTCTCAGTAGAGATTTTACCTCTATAATTCTAAGTTTACATTGACACATAAAAGTCCTAAATAATCTCCAAAATATATTATAATATAAATTATAGTATAATTTAGCTACTTTGTGAAAGTGTGGAAGTACAATTGTGATTCCTTCTTTAGAATTACAGGCGAAAACAATTGCAGCTTATGGAGTGACTTGGTTTTTCTCTTAAAAGAAATACATAAAAATATAGGCACAATAAATTTTTTTCCCTTTATTTAGTCTTGGAATATGTCTCTAAAACATATCATGGAAAAAAAAATTGAATCCCATTGACTCCTTTGATTTGAGAAAAGTAAAATACAGTCTGTAATGAGAAAGCACCCAGAAGCATGATTATTTCAGTTTGCTGCTAGGATGGGAACAAAAAGCTCAAGTCATTCCTTATTTATTTTTTTATTTTTATTCTTTTTTTACAAAACTACTATCATTTGTTTCTCTTTGACTCAATTGATTTTTAGTATGAGTAGAGTTCTATGCAAATGAAAACTCCAAACTTATTATAATTTTAACTAAATTACTACATTTAAATATTTAAGAGAATAGTATTTGATACTGATAGGATTCCATTATTAAAAACCTCTGAGAGCTTCAGGTTTCTTCTTCCCATTTTAAAGGGAAAATATGTGAGCAATTTCAGTTTTAAAGTAAAGCTATTTAGACATTGAAATTCTAATGGGAAAACTTACTTAAGCAACAGAAGATCAAGAGAGAGTTTATAGCTGGAAAACTGGAAGATATTTTTTTTCTCACAATACAATTGCCTTTATTACCAGTGCTAGTGCTTTCGTACTATTCTATTAAGAAAGAGAACGTGGTATAGTATCTTTTCTTCAGGATCTAAAAAAGCTGCTACAATATTATAATTTTCTATGGTCAAACTTAATGCCTAGTATAAAGTAACAGTTTTTTTGGTTTTTTTTCTTTTAAAGGGAGAGAGAATTTTTTTTTAAGATTTTGTTTATTTATTTGACAGAGATCACAAGTAGGCAGACAGGCAGGCAGAGAGAGAGAGAGAGATGAGGAAGCAGGCTCCCTGCTGAGCAGAGAACCCTATGTGGGGCTTGATCCCAGGACGCTGGGATCATGACCTGAGCTGAAGGCAAAAGCTTTAAACCCACTGAGCCACCCAGGCGCCCCTGGTAACAGTTTAATACGCATTTTTGAACTAAAAATGGGAATCTAGGATTAATTACCAACCCTCACATTTTGTATTCAACTATGAAACTTCAGAGCTCCACCACAGATGACTTAAATTATTTTCAATTCAAATTCAAATTTGAATTCACAATTTGCCGGGCTCATCTGTGTTCAGTGATTATGGGGAGTGAGTATTGGTCATACAGATTAGCTCCCATTTAATTAAGGTAACAAAAGTTCGACCAGAATCTTATCTAGTATTAAAAAGTTAAATCAAGTAATGGTAAGTAAGAACCACAAATACTCTTGTTTTCCTTATCTTGAAAAACAAGGGGAGATAATATTCTAAATTTCTTATCTATAGGCTCAGGTCTATTATAAACATTTGTATAAAATAATTTAATAATAAAGAATGTTTATTGTTAAAGAAAAATTATTCATGATCTAGCTAAAGGTAATAAGCAAGACTTTAGTCAAGAGGACTACTGAAATGGGGGTTTTACAGAGATCGGTTCCACTCCAAACACAACTAGGGCAAGTGTGCATTTATAGAGAGGTGTAGTGGGCCTCCATGGATGGAATAAGAGGAAACATTAAGGCTGGAAGGATTCTTGCTAGAAGATATGACAGGATTCTGATATTAAGGATAGAAATTTGGTAAAGTATCTGATATTTGATCAAATATCTAGGATGATCAGATACCAAGGACAAGAGCCACGTACATGTGGCAAATTGACTCAGCATGATTCTTGCTAAAACTGGATTTAGGAGACCAAAGACAGAGCCCAAGGCTGGGACCTAGTCAAGAAAGGGGGTTCAGAGGAGCCGGATTCAAAGAAAGAGAGTCTTTGCCATTTTTCTGAATGAAAGAGTTAAAACCTTATACAAAATGTTTTCAAATACAAGATATCTACTTAGAGATCCTTTAGTCAGTAGTGCTTTCTTTGCTGTGTTTTCTATGAGAGGGACTCAAGGGACCTTAAATAATCCTATTACTGAGTCATGTGGTGACTACTTTAACTGGTAGAAGGAAACAAGATGATTAATTCAGTTTCCTCATTCAAAAGAGTAAACAGATAACACTAGTCCAGACAAATACTTAGAATAAAGCATTCTATGGTCAAATTAGTTTGGGAAACATTTGATACTTTTACTGGCACCATTAAAAAGTTACAACGGGGGCCCTGGCTGGCTCAGTTAGTTGAGCATGTGACTCTTGATCTCGGGGTTGTGAGTTTGAGCCCCACGGGGGGTGTAGAGATTACTTAAAAATAATAAAATATTTAAAAATACATAAATAAAATTAAAAGTTACAATGAGTATTTGCAAGTTAAAAGCTCTGAGGATACCTAAGTTCAAGAAATCTTTAAATTTCCTTTAAATTCAAGTTTTCCAATTAACTTGACAGTGGAACCCTTTGAAAAACAGTGATTGCAGAACTAGCGTTCTAAGGAATACACGTGAGAAAACACTCAATTAGATAATCTATAAAGAGCTTTCTAAATGTAAAAATATGGTATTCCATCAATGGGCATGATATAAATTGTTGCTGACAGACAATGGAGTATGTCATCTCTAAGTTTCTCACAGCAAAGTTTAAGCAATGGCTGGATAACTGTATTCATGGGGTATAGCTGAAAGGATTTCCAAACTGTTTAAAACCATCATATATTATATTATTACATATCATCATAATGTCTTCAAGTGAATACCTTTGTACTCAAATGTCTGCATGTTCTTCAGATAAAATCTTAATCAAAGGGTGTGCACACTTTGAATTTTAATGCAAAACACCCTTCAAAATTTGTAACAAATCTACATCCAGACCAACAAATATTTAGAAGAGGAAGTGTCTGTCTCCCCATGTTCCTATAACTACACCAAATGAATGTACCTACTCTTTTGAAAGTCTTCTGGCCAGGTTGAACATCTTTCCACATATTTCCTTTTTAAGGAGTGATTCTATGACTTGTTTACTCATTTTACTTATCTAAGGTTTAAATTTTTTTTAGTGTTTTTTTTGTTTTGTTTTGTTTTTTGTTTTGTTTTTTGGTAGGTGGATTCGACAGTTTCTTCTTGAAGAACTCTACCTGTGTTAAGGATATTAACATTCTGAGGCAGCTTTTACAATACAGCTTGCTTCTGATGTTAGTTCAGGCTATTAATTTTCCAGAGATGTTCTATACATTTATGTATTTAATGTTATCCTTTTCACTGTGGATTGCAGTTTGGATATTTGCTTAATAATACCTTTTTAGGTATATAAAACAAATTCTATATATTTAGATACTATTTTATTTTTACTCATATTTAACCCATCTGGATACTGTTAAACCACAATATGTCAAGAAAGTTAGAGCTAGACCCAAGTCCAGGTTTCCTGATAGCCACCCGTCCCAAGGATTTCAAAAGAAAACTTTGCTTATCTGCTACACATTCATTTATACTTGCACCAATTTTAGGATATTATTTCCTGTTAGGTTTAATATTTACTCTTGCTCTATTAATTCACTCCTTTGATTACTAAGCTTTTAAAATACATTTCAATATCTGATAGAGTAAATTTCTCCTTGTTACCTTTTTATTTTGCTAACTCTTCTTGGTTATTCTCACACATTCATATTTCCAAATTAACATTATAATTATTTTGCCAAATCCCCACCTCCAAATTCTAGTCTCCCCATGTTTTCCAAATTGAAACTTTGATTTACAATTGCATTATAGGTAGGGAGTAATGTAGAGAGAATTGACGTGTGATATTACTGTTTTTTAATCCTCCCATCATGGTTGTGTGGTGTTTCATGTCTGTGTGTGCACGCGTGCACACGCGCGCGCACGCGCGCGTGTGTGTGAATGTCTTTAGGAAAAATGTATGCTTTCCTTCATCTATGACTTTTGAAATTTTTGTTAATTTTTATTATCTTGCATTTCGATTCTCCTAAGTCCTTATGTTTCCTCATTGACTATTATTGGCACATAGGAACATTGTTGATGGTAATAGTGGTTTCAGACAAGATCTTATTAAAAAATGGTAATTCTAGGAAATATTATAATTTGCAGATAAATGATCAGCTGTGATGCTGTCTATGAGAACTATCCATGTGTGGAATGGATTAGTGCTCTCACACTACTGTAATTGTCCAAATCTATTAGTATCATTGTAGGCTATGCTCCATTAGTCACTAAACTGAAGTGAACTAAAGAGAATGATAGTTTTAGTATTTTTATCTGTGATGTATACATATATTTACATATTTATACTATTCTTTTTTGTTTGTTTTGCTCATGTATTTGTGTTTATGTGCACGTGTGTAACTGCATTACATTTTTAAAATTAGAATATATGAGGAATTGGTACTAATCAATTTTGTGATATAAAATTACTAAATAAATAACAGTGTAATTATTCGGCTAGAGTAACAGACCCTAAAATGGTAATGGCTTAACACAATGGAAATTTATTTCTTACTCATATAATACAAGTTTTAACTATCTATATTTATAAATTTTAAGTACCTATTTTTTTTCTATACTTTAGATCAGTAAAGCGAGCGTTTCTTCTTGGAAAATGACCCTGCTAAATGTTTGCAGTTTTGTAAATAACCTGAACAGCCAAGCCGATGAAACAGGAGAGTTTCGTGAAGAGGAACTTATTACAAGAAGGAAATTTCCCGCTGCCTTAGATGGTTTTAGCTTGGAAGCAATGCTGACAATATACCAGCTCCAAAAAATCTGCCACAGCAGGGCTTTTCAACAATGGGAGGTAACACAAAAACAAAATATGAATATAATTATCGTTACACTAGTTACCTTTCATTTGTACTGATTTTTTTTTACCCTGATCATTATCATAACAGGAAGACTTATAAATATTAAAGAAGAATAAACCATGTATTGAGGTTAACATTCCTTCAGATCTTCAAAGTCTCCTTCAAATATTGGGAGTTAGCAAAATATTTTTTCTTCGATCTTAAAAGGGGTGTGTCTATCTTAAGGCAGATTTGATCCACATGGTTTTATTGTGTTTAAATTGGTGGCATACTCAAGCAATTTTTGGTAGTGGCATACCCACAAAATTTAAGGACTGAAAATATTTTCTTAGAAGCACCAAGTCATATATGTTTATAAACAAGCACAAGAACCAAAAGGTTCCATTTGTATTTTAATATATTAGGCAAATAAAACTGGAATATATATCATATGTATATGATATGTATATATGATATATATTCCTATTTCACTGAATAAATAGATTTCAGATCCTTAGCATCTAAACTAGGTCCACGACAACCAAGACATCCAAAATCCATTATACCGAAAGAACTACACTGAAGTAGGATAAAATAGTTGTATTGAATACTATACTAGTGATTTACTGCCTTTGGTTTGGGAAAATTTGTTTGAAGGAGGAAAAGAGAAATGGAAATGCTTTAAAGAAAAAGAAAATTTTCCCAACAAGGGAACCGTTTATTTCATATTAACCTCTGAGAGAAATTTGCTTAATGTTTTGTATTTTGGGATTACGCCAGCCTTGGAAATCTGAGGGTACCTTCCCTGCTAATATAGAGATCTCTGTAAATGACTATCCCAAAGATAACCTGTGGAAAAGAAGAAATGTAAAACAGAATTTTTAGTGTTTATTCTAACTTATAAATAAAATGATGTTTTCTAGATGAAACACCAAAAAAGTTCATTTAATTTTACTTGGTGGACTACTCATCACTTAATTCCAATTCCAGCTAAATAGTTTAGTCTTTAAAATATTCTTTAAATCAATAAAACTTGAAAAATGCTTATTTTAACATAGGGAAATGTCAATTATGTGCTATTTATCTGGGAATTAAAAGCAATAACAACAACAACAACTCAATTAACTATGATACATACAAATCAGGTGCACATAAGATTAGGACTTTAATTATTTTTTTTTAAAGAATTTATTTATTTATTTGACAGAGAGAGAGACAGCCAGAGAGGGAACACAAGCAGGGGGAGGGGGGATGCAGCGTGGGGGAGGGGGATGGCAGAAAGGGAGAAGCAAGCTTCCTCCTGAGCAAGGAGCCTGATGCGGGGCTTGATCCCAGGACCCTGGGATCATGACCGGAGCCCAAGGCAGATGCTTAGCGACTGAGCCACCCAGGCACCCCAGGACTTTTACTATTTTAAATGTTATTGAGTGATTTAAAATAAAATGATAATATCACTCAACAGAATATGAATAATTATAGATTGTGTTCGCAGAGAAACATAAGATTAAGGAACTAGAGTGTCTGACAATACCTGTTTTACCTTCTCTGAAATTGAAGTTGTGGGTTGAAATAAAGTAGTTGGTGATACGATTCAGTGCACATGCACTATAATTAAAAACTTAGTCTCCTCTTAGCATTTCTTATGACCCCAAAGTTTAGAAGACAATCACAAATACAAATGCAATTCTTATCTTGAGCAATTTGTTTAAAAATTTCACATAAAATTAAGTGCAAAATTCTGGGACGAGGTCTTAAACATTTTCTGCTAACTGAAATTTTTTATTCAGAACTATACCAGAAAAAAAGTGTTCAGAACTAATTTTAGAATGTGGCATATTCAATGAGATATTAGGTAAGATTCTACACGGAGATGAACTCCCTTAAGTTACTGAATCTGAACTTGCTTCTAAGTATTAAGCACCACAATTTAAAGAGATCTTAACTATTGAAACAAAACTTTCACATGTGTTAATTTCTACACCTAAGTTAGGCAGAGCAGGCATTCCTCTCTCTTTGACTAAGAAATGGATCTTTGGAATGGTTTTCAAGTCAAGTCAGTTAACTAAAGAGAATACAAAATCCTGTTGCCTTTTGAGGCCAAACCTGGCTTACTAAATTCAAAACTCTCTATTTGTTGTGATTTATTATATATTTTCATAACATCTGGTCTCTCATAAATCAAAGCCTGAAAAATACTCAAAGATCTACTCGGTGTGTTGCTTCAGTTGGAGGTATCAGTGTGTAGCCTTGAATAGAGAGTTGGAAAAAAATAATCTCAGTTTTTTTCTCATTCTATCTCAGTCAGTTGATAGTTATCTGTCCCTGCACAAAACATTTAATTGCTTTAAAATTTGTATATCTCATCCACATGTGTCTTACTGTTTGAATAGAAAAAGAGATAAAATGTAGAAAACTGCTCTGAAAGATGTCATTCATGTAAGTTTGATTCCTATCCTGCCTATTTTGCAGTTAATTCAGGAAGATGTTCTTGATGCTGGAAATGACAAAAACGAAAAGGAAGAAGTTATAAAAAGAAAAATCCCTTACATTCTGAAACGCCAGCTGTATGAGAATAAACCCAGAAGACCCTACATACTCAAAAGAGGTTCCTATTACTACTGAGAAGATAAATATTTCATTTACTTGTGATTGTGATTTATCATCCTGTAATTAAATATCAAATTTGTGTGGTAATGTGACAGAACACAATTATTGTGTCTCTTCTACAGTTGTCTCTTCTACATTTGTGGTTTATTGGATGTGATTTTTCTGCATTAATATAAACTAGACTAAATGTTTTAAAATAAATCTAGATCTTGAGCATGATAATGTGTTGTGTGTAATTGGAGTAGATATTAATTAAGTCACATGTAGAATGTCTTGTGATTTTGCAGAGCACTTAATGGGTTATTTAAACAGCCAAAATGTTTGACATTTTAAACCAAATTATAAGACATTACAATGGAGGCCTGTGGCAAAGCCTAGTATATATATGTCATTGACTCAAAACAAAGTTATAGTACTTCTTTTATTATTTGATTTTTTTTAATTGAGAGAACTATGTGTTCTTTTCCAAGACTCACATAAATCTCTCAGATGTGGGGAACGTAATACTGGTAAGATAGGTTCATCTTAAAAGAAGGATTAATAAACTATTGTTAATTTGCCTATCTTAATGAATGATCTTCAGCTGAATTTGTCTTTCTATTAAATAAACTTCATGGCTAATAAAAAGCAACATGTTTCTCCACAAATTTACTTCCATTAGAAGAGTTACCCTTTACTGACTTTTTTTCCTCACACTTTGATCCAGCAATGGTAGCTTTATTTTTAATTTGACTGAGGAATTTGTATGACTTATGTTTTTTCCAAGTAGAAGAACATTTCTGAGGCAGAAGAAATACTTGAAATAATGCCTCATAAATTTCCTTCAAGATCATACCTACGGTCTCATAAGCCCTCACAGTATATACATTCCACCATTAGCTGTGACTTTTTAGATTCTCACTCTCAACAAGGGTCTAGGAAGACCTCTCCTCACAGGGCTGCAACCTAGTTCATAGTCACATATGAGAGAAAATATCAGGATTGAAGCTGTGGAATGAAGGAGCCTTCAGAACTCCAGGTACTTTTAAGATTGCCCTATCCCTAGGCTAAACCCCACTCAGTAGGATATAACAGCAGTGTAGTAGTGTCTGAGTTTTCTGGTAAAACCATGAATACTCATGTCCACAACTCAACTGTCTTTCACCATCTCATCAGCTTCAACATTACAAAAGTGCCCAAGGAGGGTGCCTAGATGGTGCAGTTGGTCAGGCAGCTAACTCTTGATTTCAGCTCAGGTCATGATCTCAGGCTCATGAGATCAAGCCCCATGGGCTCTGTGCTGAGCCCAAAGTCTGCTTGAGAGTCCCCCCCTTTGCATCTCCCACCTGTGCCCTCTCTCTCTCTCTCTCTCTGAAATAAAAAATAAATAAATAAATCTTAAAAAAAAGCGGTGCCCAAGGTCCTGATCCTAAAACAAAAACTATTTCCTAGTGATTAAGAGAGTGTACTCTGGAATCAGAATGCCTAGGTTCAATTCTACTTTTTACTAGTAACCCTGGAAAACATTTAAGTCCATTTCCTCAACTACAAAATGTGATAATAATGGGGCTTGGAGGGGAATAAAATGGTTTCATATATGTAAAATGGTTAGAATGGAGTTATTAATTTATTCTTTCTCTTTCCAAAACCATAGAGCATAACACAATTTCATAGTAACCTTCTGTTTTAAGCAACTACGAATCTCCTAATTACTTGCTTCATTCAACGTCCTTGAGTACTTCCATGTCTATGTGCAAGAGTCATCCAATAATCTCCCTTCTCAGTTCCTGATGTCTTCAGTTCTGGTAATAAAACTTTAATCCATCTCATAATCACTCACTTAATGGACATACCACAGAACTTTTTACTACCAATAAATTCAACCTTTCCAAAATCTCAATTGTAAGCACTCTACTCTCTACACGTCATCTTCTCTTTCTAGTTCACACAACACTCTCATGCCAGCTAATCCATTGTCTCAAACTCCTTCACTCTTCACCTTCTACTGATGGCCCCAATGTGCTTTTTACATGGCTTAGATTCTGTAGGTCAAAACTAAAATGAATCTCGTTACCCTCAACATCTTGACCTTCTATCTTATGTGAGCCTGTGAAAACACCCACTTAGAGACTACATGTAGGTAAGAATTGTTAAGTTGGAGCCAACAAGATATCGAATGGGGGAAAAAAAATGTATTCAACTTGTGGGTCCTTTATAACTTAAACAGAAACCTCATTCCCTAAACTTTGACTTTTCCCTCATTTTTTGTGTATTAAGTATGAATTTATTTTAACCACACATAGAGTATCATTTTCTTGAGGATGGCATTGATTGATAGAGCTTAATCTTTAAACAACTTCATGGAAAAAAGCTGCCTCACCATCCTGGGCCAACCAGACCATTATCTGAAAGAGAAATGCATTCTAAGTTACTTAAAGCACTATACTTTTTAAGCTGGTTGCTACAGCATCTCAACCATTATTTTAATTGTTGTAGTCTTCTGCAGGCCTTCCCATGGTTTATTTCTTCACATAATCTACATCTCTGCATATATAATTTGTACAATGAGCCTTTTCTTAACAACCTATCTTAAATAACCTTCAATCATGAGTCAATATCTCCATTTAACTTACTCTATTTTTTTTGAATATTTGAAAAAGGGAAACAAAACAGTCACTGAGAGCCATTAACTGGGAGTTGGACTGGCACCAACATATAGGCCATGGGTTCCTCCTGTTATAAATGAATAATTCCACTGAACTAAAACTTTAGACAAGGTCACTCTAACTGTGATGGCAAAAGAAAATCAACAAGTCCACTCAGCAAATCATGTCTAAGCAAAACAAAAATAAGAACACTGTAAAAAACAAAAATGATCAAACATTCATCCTCCTTTCCCACATGATTTGAGTGACCACTGCTTCTTAACCAACTAGTGCTTTAATTCTTCTCCGTTCTTCCACTTCCAGGATAAAAACAGTTATAACACCCAAACAGAATTGTCTCCTCCTTCTTCTTCTTCCTCTTCTTCTTCTTCTTCTTCTTCTTCTTCTTCTTCTTCTTCTTCTTCTTCTTCTTCTT